AGCTGGCGAGGGAGGTGAAAGCCGATTCGGATGTTGAGGAGGCGGCTAAGGAGCCGGAAGGCGTTGTTGAGCATGAGAGCGAGAAAATGCGCATCGATGAAAAGGATCGCGGCGGTTTGCAACGTGCGTTCGATGATGAGCTTAATTTTTGGAAATAACTGGTTTTTCTTGCGTTTTCCTTTGAGCAAATATTTTTTCTGGATTTATTTTGTTGGCGCACAGTGATTTTTTTGAATACTTATACTACAATCAGAGCATTTTGGTTGAATTGGTGGCATATTTTGTTGTTGTTTCTTACACTTATGGACACTTTTCATGACGACAAGCACTGATTTATTTTCACGAACATTTTTCATCGTTCAAAATCAACAATAAAAACGATTTTTTCTTTGTTTTAAGATTTCACTGAGTTTTTGTGCTAACCACCTTACATCAATTGTATTTTTTTAATTAACTTAATTTCTTATTTATTTTAATCTATTTAGATTTTTTTTTCATTTACCTTAAACTTCATTTTAATTTTTTTAGTCTTTATATATTTTTTTAACTTCCTATTTGACGTTTTGTTTGGTTTGTTTTGTTTCGTTTTGTTTTTGTTTTTGTTTTTGTTGTGTTGTGTTGTGTTGTGTTGTGTTGTGTTGTGTTGTGTTGTGTTGTGTTGTGTTGTGTTGTGTTGTGTTGTGTTGTGTTGTGTTGTGTTGTGTTGTGTTGTGTTGTGTTGTGTAGTGTTGTGTTAGGTTGTCTTGTGCGGTGTTTTATTTTTATTTTTTTTTATTTTGTTTTTCATTATTTGTTTTAATTGCCCCTAATTTGTTTATATATTTTTCCCCTTTAATTTAATTTAACGTATTCAATTTAATTTGATTTCTTCATATATAACCCGCTTTCGGCATTATCCATACACTCTTTTGAATTTGTTTTTCTAAATAACTCCTTCCCATTACAGGTAATCCCAAAAGTCTACTGCCAATGCCCGTTGAAGACTCATCAATGCGCCGCTCGTGCTCGCTCAGCGACTTGCATATGGGAATTAGCGGCAACATGGGTAAATGTAGGTAGTTTGCTATATATATCTTTTTACCGAAATCGTCGTCTAATGCAACTTTTAATCTCTTCTAATTGCAGCTGGTAAATCCAATGGTAGTCAATTGAAAAATCCAGGCGTTGTTTATCGTAATAGCACAGCGACAAGGTCTGCGAGCAAGCGCAATAGTCTACAACTGAAAAGCTCGACTGGTTTGGGTGCATCGAGTTCATCGATTGGTGTACTAAATCAAGCGGTAAGTTTCAAAACCATTTTCTTTTGTGATAGCATAGTCAACACTTGAGAGAAATTTAAAATCAAAATTTTATATTTGAATCTTGTTAATTTCCAAGAGAAATAAGTCTAACAGTTTTGATGCAGTTGGGTTCATTTAAAGAGGCTCTGTTGAACTGCATCAAATTTCCCATACCGGAGAAATTCTGACATATTCCCTTTGGTAATTAACCGATTCATTTAGTCCTGTTCAGATAAAAATTGTCACAGGGAAACATGAAAAGGGCCATATTTCATAACACTAATGCTGCGTTTGAAAAGGATGCTAGTTAATAAATTGGGTGTAAAAAACAAGGGACACTGGGACGTAGAATATGTTTGTATCCGCATTTCCCCTGCCTACCTCGTCCCATCCAAGATACTACAAGCTTCCTTAATAAATAAACGCAAACTCTGCCTTTATTCAGAAATTCTTTAAAATAAACGGTTCGACTGTCGATGAAATTAAGTACGGCCAACGCCCAGCAATCACATCACAGATCAGTCGAGTGCATGTTAGAACGCAGGTGGCATTGGTTGCTTAGGTACCCTTGAGTAACCTGGCACTAACTCTATTCAAAAGATTTATATCCTTTCTGGCGAAGAGGTACTCAAAGCGGTTTAAGTTTACCCACTCGGTAATCGTCTCGAAGAATACTGGTTGATCACGCAAAATGGTACGTTTTCCACAAAGGCGACCGATAACTCTTTCCTCACCAATGCATCGGCCACCGCGTTTCCTCTTCACTTCCGCCGTGGCCTCGTATCCAGCACAGTGTAGCCGCGTTTTTGCTGTCGAGAATTAAAGAATGACAAGACACTTGTTGGCGAGCTTGGAGAAGGTGTCAGTTAGCTGTCAGAAAAGATTACTATTAGCACGCTCGAGAATGCTCACTGTTCGGCCTGAAATACTGCGGCTATCTGACGACTGAAATAAAAAGTTTAGTGTCGGGTCCATAAACGCCTGTACTTGTTCCGTCAGCCATACTTGACCCATCTGGTCCTTAATGTGCATAACTGGGATCAAAACGAGGCTATCCATTTACCCAGAAATCTCTCTTGCTATACCTGGAATAATAGCACCAGAATAAAAACAATAAAAAATATGGGGTCCAGTGGTTGAGTTATGTGTGTCTGGATCCTCATCCACGAGTTAATAGAGATAACTTCTGACGTGCCGGCGAGTCCATGCTTCCAGAAAATGGTGATTCGGCTGCTCGCTATGTACATTTGTACATACATACGTGGTGGTCTGGCATGCCAATGCTATCCGGAGTCCGGTATTCTGACAAGTCTTTAGCTTGATCCACTGCCTCCTCTTAGTCCTCAATGACCTAGCAGGCGCAAAATAATTTAGAATCGTCCGACTCGCCCTTCATGAGTACCTCTCTCAGGGAAATTAAAAAAGGAATTACCGAAAAATTTCACTCGAAAGCTAAGCAGAAGTACAGCTACCCAGGGTCGTATAAGATTACCTGACAGAGTTGGAATACCTACAACTTACTAAAAAACAAGGCGCTGTTAGGATTAAGCAAAGAATGAACCTTCCGTATTTCGTATTACGATTGCTCAATTGGTTCGTAAGATATACGTGAATAAGTGGAACCACTTTTTGTTTTAAGCCGAATAACGGTAAATTGAAAATATATCTAGAAAACTTATCCATAGAATTAAAAATTAACTCGATTTTTGGAATCAGTGTGAAATTCTATATAGGAATTGGATAGTGGCATCCATAGAACGTTTTTGCTGTCAACCAGTGTAATTTATTAGTTTAAGGGAGAGTTTTTGTATATTATAAATTTGGACTGTTGAAAACTATCACTTAAAATCCACAATATATGATTTATAGAGTGATTCTGAAAATGAGGACAACAATCGTGGTCGCAGTAGCGGAAGTAACTCAAATCGTACTAATGGACCTACCGGTAAGTACTTTTAAATAAATAATAATTTTAAATAATTTTAAATAATAAATAAATAGTCGTTTATTACTACTATATTCCCATGATTGAATTCCCATCTTGCACTTCTAGTCGCCAATCGTCAGTATGCAAACAAGAATTCTAACACAAATAACAATCGGCGAAAAGGTTTACAGCCGAATTTCAGCAATGGTGAGCAACTTTTTTAAATTTTTTATCGATATCGGAATTGCTTTACAAATCTTTCTATAGCCGCTCCACTGCAAGACGATTCCAGCTCCGAAGAGACGCCCGGCGGTTCGTCCAACTCCAAACCAATAGTGCCACCACGCTCGCGTAATTTAACTTTCGATCATAAAAGCAAAGTGCTCAACAGTCCAAATGTAATGAAGCAACGTGGCGTATTTGAAGCGCCTGAATTTGGCGCACTAGAAAGTTCTGATCGTAAGTTAAATAGTAAATAATTATTTTTGGCGGACGAAAATTAATGTATTTTCTTGTTCTAGCGAAATCACAAGTGCACAACGTGATTAACAATTTATATACAACAACACAAACGGTCATGCAACTGCATGCGAATCTAAAGAATTGTGAGGATTCATTAATGTTAAAGGAACTGGAGAATGCTGTGATTATGACGCAAAATATGTTAACAAACATTACACAAAATAAGTGAGTAGCATGCGATGGTGATTTTCTTCTAATCTTTGGAGTTTTGCTAAATACGTGCCGAAGTAGCTCAAAAAAAAAAACAAAAACTGGTACTACTGTTAAGTGGCTCATGTCCCTAATACTTGACGAATCCTTGTCTAATCATTTGTACTTACTTTAGCAATCCTTACTGCTTACTTTAGTAAGGGATGGAAATGGATTAGACGAGGATTAGAGACAAGAGCCATTTAACCTACTGATAACAGTTTTTGTATTTGGAAAGTTATAATTTTTGTTTTTTTAAAGTATACCTTTATATGAGAGGTAGGCGATTTAGTTGCCAAATTTCGCACATTTTCAATACCACCCTACTTTGTGCCAAAACTAAAATATGTGCACGATTTCGTAGATATTTCTCACAATTTTTTTCCCGAGGCCGGACAGTATTAATTGAATTTTCCTCAAACTCCATAAACTTAAATTTTTTATTTTATTTTCCAGAAATGACAAAACTCACTCACAACATAGTCACGCCTATACAACCACAGAACAGGCGAATCTGGACAACGGCGACTACTTGATGATGGTCAACAATTGCGCCGATCTTCTAAGTAATTTTCGTATGAAGCACAAATTGGACGACTGTGAGAATAACTCCTAGTGTAGTAGTAGCAACACTAGCAGCGATTGAGAATTTAGCGTTTAATTAAATACACAAATAAAGTAAAGACGAGAAACCAAGCAAAGAGAAATGAATAACAAATATGCAACTGAACTAATTAACACAGACAACTAACTATACATGAGACAGGAAATGAAAAGCAAGCAGATATGTAAAGGATAACGATGAACGTGGAACTGATAGCGTCTGAATGTGTCAACTCCATTTTGGAGAATTACTAATCATTTAATTATCAAATACCTATATGTAATTAGCTATAATAAAAATAGAAATAATAATGTCATTAGAAGTTGTAAGTGCAAAAATGCAGCATATTCCCTGCTATGTGCGCGACAATGTAGTTGTAGCAAGACAAAAGCAACAAATATAAATAAAAGCGAAATTTTAGCTACAAACAAGTGCAAAAACGTAATTAAAAGCTGAAAGAGCAATGCGGAAGTGACTTCCTTAAAACATAAAGCTTACAAACTAACTAATTTTTCTTAACAAGCTGTTGTATTCTGCCTTATTTTACACACACAAATACATACATAGCAAGTAACATATACACACACGAATCCAAAACTATCACCCTCATTGCGAGAGTCGTGTCGGATGCAAGTCGTTTTTCGAGAGTCGAATCGTATCGAAAATTTCACGTCATTGCCTAAAATTTCCACTCGACTAGTGTATTAAAACGGAAAAACTTGGCAGCACTGTATAGTTTTCGACAAATTTCGTCGTTTACTTTTTTCAGCACGACAGTAAACAATGCCAATGTTGTCGAGTCGTACAATTTAGCCTAATTTACGACTTACGCAATGAGGCTGTATATGTATATATCTACTCTGTATTCGTTTGAACCAGAAAGAATTTGTAACTTGTTTGTTAAGTTTGCAGCCAATGTTTTGTAAGTTTTGTTAAGTGCTTACTTAGCCCTAAGTGTGACGCTAATTAGTTAAATTTAATTTGTAATAACTGTAAATGTATTTGTATTTGGTTTGCTCAATTGGCTCAAATGGAGCAATGCTCACTCACCTACACGTGTGGAGAGAACTTGCTACATACATACACCCGTACAAAATTTAAGTGCGATTAATGTTAATTTCAGTTGTTTGTTAGTTGCCTTAACACTTAATTCGTAATTAGTTATGTTTATATAGTACAATTTAAGTCACATTTGCTGTAACAGAGTGTTGTTTATTTGATAGCAACAAAATTTGCTTGACTCAAAAATTAAGCAAATGCTAGAAAATGTGTTGTTTGAAAAGCAAAGATGATAACAATAATATAATCAATACAGTACAGTCTTTTGGAATATTGATAAAGAGAAAATGCCAAATTTTGTGTAAAATTTATAACAGAAAATTAAGTAGCGTTTGAGGTGAATTTGCAAATGTTTTACTGCGATAATATTTAGGTTGTAAAAACTTTTGCTAAGTGTCAATTGCTTATAAAATTAGTTGAAATGTTGAGTGCTGGAGGCAAATGGAAGGACAAGAGCAAAGAGTGTCGAGGAAGTTAAACGCTTGCAAATGTTTTTTAAAGGCAAACTTTTTTGCCACTTGGTGTGGATTGGTTTTGAAAAGACAATATTTTTCGCCCAACAGATGACTATTTCTAAATATCGATGCCTTTTTCGTTTGGTAATCTGTAAACACTTTTAAGTGTATTATGTGTGCGTGTGTATTTTGCCTGGCGCTGATATAAAGGCATACAATTTGTTGATCTACTAACCGATATAATACCCAATTTCCACCAGACCATAAAATGGCGAAGGTTCCAAAAAGATTTAGGGCCGTTAACTTATCTATTTAAAAGTATGGTTCTAATGGTTTTTACTACAGAAAAATCGGTGTCTTATTATTTTAAAAATGTCATCTGGAAAATACCTATTTACTTTTTTTAACACAATTGCATCGGCACTTTTTAAATACCAAATTTATTATTAAAAAATTTGTAATTTAAAGTATGCGTGGAAACCTGGCATATGACTTCTTAACATAAACTTTTCTTGAAGCCTTAAAGTAATCCAAACTATTAGAGTAGACAAGGGTTATCGATGGAAAATTTAGAGCAAAACATGCCCGCAAATTCTGCCCTAGACCTAGTGAAACCCAGCTTTAGACCAAAAAATTAAGATCGCCTCGAAACGCTCTAAAAAACATTACCTACAGTAGAGCATTTCTTATCCGTCTGAATTGGTGACAGCTTGAGTATAGCGAATTTTTGCTACTGACTTATATAATTCAGCTCTACGTTTTTACCTTCCTTTTATTAACTCGGGATATAACTATGTAATATTGATGCGCCTAAAAGATGCAGCGATTTCTATTCTCAAGTTATATACCTGATGACAGTACGAATGGCAATTATAATAGGGAGGTTTTAGTTTTTCAAACTATAATTTTTTTGAACCACATTTTCCATTTCAAAAATGCTCCCCAGCCAAAGTCTAGCTCTTTTTCCATTTTAGCCTTCGTAAAAAATATATTTGCAAGCGTATAAACTCCTCACACTTGATGGCTACAGTAGTAGAGTTGCGGAAATATGTAGAATAACTCGCAATGTACTTAGCCGGGGTCTGAATCTAAAACTGAAGTCAAATAATGTCTGGGTTGTTTTAAATTTAGAAAGAAATATTGAGCCAACTTTTGATTTCCGACTTCAGAGACGGCTTTAGCGTGCCAAATTTTGGAGGCATTGGCTAGGAGTAGCGTTCGTTTTTGAAAGAGCCACCAAAAGCATTCATACACTCCACTTCAACAGCCAAAAAAAAAAATTATGAAAGTGTGTTACGAAATTTTTCTTTCACCAAACAATTAAACAGAAAAAGTATTTCTCTGCCAAAATTTAAAAAAGAAAAAAAATAAGAGTTCATATAAAATGGGCCTCTACGTAAGGGTTTCCATTTACATATTTTACCATACTAGTAGTTTTCATGAAAATCTGTAATAATCCAAACATACCTAGGTATTTACGTATATAAATAATGTACTGTATTGTATTGTATCGTATTGAACATTAATAACTATATATTTGTCAATGTTATTGTGGCTTGTTAACATTTTATTTTTAATATTTTTATTGAGCTTTGTACCACGATTGTTTATTAGGAAAAATTGAAAAAGCAACAAAGTCTAAGCGGTAGAAGTTATAGCACTATTTCGGAGATCACCACATCTCCTCATCAGACTTCTTTTTCTAGACTTCAGCAGGGATCGAACCTGCGAATTCGATGTTCAAAGTCAGAAGCGTTAACCACTG